TGTGCTCCTCAGAGACACAACATTGAACCAAACTGGAGTTATGTTAAGAATTTTATTAACGATCAGCTTTGGGAAGCTGACAGTGCCTGAATTCTCAAAATTCCCTGTGAAACAACCCAAACAATCCCAATTTTGCAGTCATGACCACCTGAAACTTGGCTTGTTTCAGATAGGAAATGGTGAGAGAGGAGCAGACAGAGGGAATAAAAGGGATGAGGAAGGTCAAAACCTGAAACAGGTCTGGTGTTTTTGTACTGAACACGATGTTGAGGCAGCTGGCTCAGGGTGCTTCGCTGGAAGGGTGTATTTGCTGTCTGCATACCCAGAAGGAATTTACACACACAGGGGAAATGTTTTACCTGCTGCAGTATGTTGTTTTTCTGTGGGCTCAGCAAGAAATCACTCAGCATCCCCTGCCCCTCCTTCCAAAGGAGGATAACTTGGCACGCGATGTACAGGAGGAAGGTGAGGACTAGCAAAGCTTTCGTCTTGGTTGACCTGAGTGCTGGAGATTTGTCCTGTGCTGAGGCAGGATGCTCTTGTCTCCTGAAAGGTTCCTCTCGGCCGGCGTGACAGAACTTGTGTCTGCTAAACGTCAGGGTGTGATATGTCTGTGTATGGAGGTTCTCCTCAGGGGAGGGTGTCTGGGTGAGGTGGGGTGAGTGGAGCAAGCAGGCTGGTGTTGCTACTGCCCTTTCATTTTTGATGAGGATGTGGTTTGTCATTTATTTTTTTTAATTGATGTGTATGGGTCACTCTAAGCAGGTATGAGGAGGGAGGGAAGGTTTTTACCATAAGAGCGGTAGGGGTGAGTTCTGCACCTTAAAAACATTCCTGTATGCCTGGTGATTCATGTTGGGGATTGCAGTGATTGCTGGGTGTCCTGGTTTTGCTAGGATAGAGTTAATTTTCTTTTTAGTAATTAGAAGAGTAGTATTTTACTTTCAGTGTTTCAGTTCAGACTTATCATGAGAAGAACTTTGATAACAGTACTTGTGTTGCTGCAGCTTCAAGGCCACCGTGTTTTTGCTCCTTCACAGCTGCATTAGG